TTTCATATTACATGCCTTTGCGAGGAAAACAAAAGTATCAAGTTACAAAGTTGGCGTGAAGAGCTAAATTGTCACGTTTGCTGCTTCAGCGTATTGTTGTATTTAAAATGAACGAAAATCAACTTAAAGCACCAGTAGTAATTAATTTGTGCGTAATGTTTGGACCTTGAATGAAAATACAACCTTGAAACATACACACTACAAAGGGGAAAAGCCGTAGCAGACTACCAAGGTAGACACAAACCAGAAGTGAACCGAGCAGGGGTGAGTACTTATGGGACTACTGTACCAGAGCTATCAATTGCGCTCTGCACTATCTGAGATTGTCTCACTAGTTATGTTTTAAAGCTTAATTTGAAACCAGTAAATGAAAATTAGCAATTTATGCGCCTACCCTGTTATTGATCATGAATTTCGTCACAACATTGTCAAAGTAACTGTGGATCTACGAGGTGATAGCCGAGTGTTGCGATCCGATTGGCTGAACTATCCCACACCATCAGTGGGGTAGAAATAGATTTAACCAAGTATAGAAGCGGAGCTCCTTGGGCGGGTTGTTCAAAGCCCGATTATACTAATCCAGGATAAATAAGCCAAAGTTGATCTGAATTTTGTAACTTTGCGATGAGGTTTTCTGTTTATGTTTGGAGTTTGAATAATCTCAAACTACACAAAACCTGAGCAGTAAAAACATTTTTATGCAAGAGAAGTTTATACTTTGGTTAACTTTTACTGAATCCTGGGTTAGCGTTTGCCACCTTTCGAACAAACCGGCTCTGATTACAATAAATTAACCTGGCTTGAGCCCGCGATCTAACTGAAAATCGATACTTGGTCCACTTTAAAAAAGCCGTGATCTAGACGAGCTCTAAACTTGAGCCCGCAATATGGTAAGGTGATGCTGGTCAGCGGGTATGTTGTTTTGACAGATGTCAATTAGCCATAACAAGGATGTCTAATATCAAAGTTGTACGCTGTAAACCAAGGCTGCATGTCTCGCTCAACCTATTAGCTGGAGTATGGCCTCCATGTCACCATGTTGTGCAACTCCGTTGTCGTCGTCGTGCGTGCGTGCCCACGAGCAATACCGCTAACCATGATAACCATGAGATAATCAAGACATGTGATGGCTTTTGTTTCCTATATGAGTATGGGGCTCCGCTACTAACACAAATGCAGCAATCTGATTAGCCTAGCTATCCTACAAAATTATCCATTATCATATAGCAGAAATGTTTTTCCAAAAACCGCGCGTTCTCTCATTGACTTTTTCGAAGTCTCATGACATGTAAATAAAACTGTTTCCCACCAAAAGTCTGAGAAGTCTCTAAGCAGGCAACATTATTGTAAAATTTGTAATGTCAGAGGGTAACAGTACACTGCTACTCGGGCGAATTTTGTCAGACGACCGCCGTTGTACGTGAATTCTTGCGCTATGTAACAACAGATCACTTAATGACAGGTCCTTTCCGTCCACACTACGCCGGAGAAATTTGAAAACGCAACAATCACCGAGGGCAGAAGTGCTCTTTAGTGCACCATGATCGTTTTCGAAAAGCTACGTTTTCAAAATGTTTCCCGTCTACACAGAGACGTTAAGCTGGCGTTTTCAAATTCCTTCAGTTTGGAGAGTGTTTTCGAAAGCTCCGTTTTCTCCGGATTAGTGTGGACAGTAGGCCTAACCGTAAAAATAAAGCTGCGTTTTCAGATTTGTAAAGCGTAGTGTAGACGGGACCTCAATGTTTTTTCCGGGTCTGCATCAGGAAACAAATCGAGTTTCTCGAAAAACAGAATTAACGGTCCTACAAAATGGCAACGTCTTCCTTTTTACGAAATTTTCGAGAAACACTTTGATAAAAATGGATAAAACAATTCCAGAGAAGACTAAAGGACATTCATGGTTCTGGGGTTGTTCTTGACTCCGAAAACTTGAAATTGTTGAAAAACCGATGCGAGCAAATACTAGTCTTCGAAAATTTCAATCTGAGTGATTTTCCTAAGGCGCGAAGTTTCATAGACTCATACCTTCATACCTTTGCTTGATATTTCGCTTATTCGTCTTCCTGGGGCGAAGCAAGAGGTAAAAGGGTAACCCAAAAACACTGATCCCCGGACTGCGGACCCCCCACTACGGACCAGGTCCACGAACTACCGTACGGACCACCCCCAAAATAGAATAAAAATCATAAATAAAGATATTTTTACTCAGGGGTTGGCTTATAGATCACTCGTGTCGGCGAACTTCGGGTTACACTTCGCGAGAGAGAGCGACGTGTTGCCACAAGTCGATCTTTGCTAATCCTTCGTTTATGCATGTCCCTCTAGCGAAGAGAGAGGTACATCGTCAAGCGACGTAAGTACGACGTAAGTACGACGCAAGTACGACGTAAGCATATGCGACGTAAGCAGGTGTTCGTTTGCGCACGTCGACCTTGAATTCATTTTCGAGCAAAGGAAAGACTGCTCGCAGTCTATAGAGAAAACAATAGCAGGTCTTGGGTAATTTTGGATTAGAAGTGTATTTGTAGCAGAAGCCACGTTTTCACTCTCCCAATTTTTTGGTGCTAAAAAATTGAAGCTTTTTCTTATATTCATTTTTTATATTCACCATCCATACAGGAAAGTTTGCTGTGCCACCCAACACCTTGCAATAATTTGCTGCAGAAAAAGATATATTTTCTATTGTTATTCAATGTTATTCCACTGGTGATCGTTTTCAAAATTTGTTGCAGAGTGTTTGTTACAACTGTTGTTCCCAGGATGTTGTCCAGTTTTGTTAATTTGTTGCACCAGAGAACTGTTATGCTTTGAGATTATGGATGGTCCAGGAGTGTTACAGTCGCATTTGTGTCTCTTTCAGATTTATAATTTGATTTGTGTTGTGTCAACAGGTTCAAGTAGAAGTAAGTGATGCCATCAAACGAGAATTCCCTGCTAAAAGGTTTGACGCAGTTCATAGCAGAGAAACAATTCTTCATATAAAAGACAAAAAGTCCTTTTCCAGAAGATTCGTGTGAGTCTCATCGACAGACATTTGACGTCTTCCTTACTTTTATCATACTTTCACATTAAACAACAACTTCGAAATATTTGAACTTCGGTATGGGGCAAAGCCTGAGGTTACTTTTAGTAATTAAACCATCAAAAGCACAAGGATACTCAACGTTGAGGAATAACAGTGATGCCTGAAAACACTTCTTGCCCAAAGGCCAGCATTGAATCAATAATTATAATTAGAAAATAAGCGCGCTGATTGGTTTAAAATCGTATTTCTATTTACACTATTGGATTATGAAACTCGAGATTTCTAGTTGACTTGGGCGCAGCCCGAGTCATCTATCACGCATAAAAATCGAGAGCGAATGATTTAATTGCTTTCGTACAAAGCTACTAGTCTTTCAAAACTTTATCTAAATCCTCTTCACAGACAACTCGAGAACGCAAAGAAGCGGCCGTCATTTTTTTAACAAGCGCACACTGCTACGCTACTCACTATCTACGACAGAATAGATACAGAGTAGCGCAGCCAATCAGAGAACGCCATTCGTGATATAACGCCAGTAGATTTATACTAATATGCTATTGATACTGGAGCTGCGCCCTGGTCAACTATAACGCATAGAAATCGAGAATTCATAATTTAACTGTTTTCGTATAAATCTGTTAGTCCTTCAAAACTTTATCTAAATCCTCTTCACAGACACTTCGAAAATGCCAAGAACCGGCCGTCATTTTTTTAACAAGCGCACACTCGGCTGCTACGCTACTCACTCTCTATCACAGAATAGAAAAAAGCATGGGCTTGGAAAAAAACCTGTAAGCAGTAAGTTCGTTGAGCTTGAAAAATTAAATTAACAAGGACAGCAATATTTGAAAAGCCCCTTTGGGGCATAACGGATGTACGTAACGTCTTGACGAGCTTGGGTGGCGATTGCCGTGTGTCGTGTGCATGTTATGCTAGAACGAAGAGCTCGGCTTTGTTATGCAAAAAAACTTTGTAAGGGGAAACCAGTGTTTTGAAACTGTTCCAATTTTTTGCTTTTAGCCGACCAAACTATAATTTGTTACGTTTGTGGAAAACGTTCGTGCAATTTTCGTTGCCCCGTACACCGTTGGGAAAACCGTTTATTTCAGCATTAAATTGTTTAAAAATTGAAAATAAGGGTAATGGAAATCAGGGCAGAAACTCAAAACACCTCGAGCAGAAATAAGAAACCCCAAATTAAAGGGCTTTTAAGGTTTACATAAAGCTTTGAACGGGTTGGTGGCTAATAGGATATCAATTTGCTATAACTTATTTATTAACCGGCGAACGTAAAAGAATGCCTAATGAACTAACAGGTGAGAAAGGAAAAGCGGTGAAATTAGCCGCTGGAGATCATAAGCTCTCTATATTCAGAAGAATACAAAATCACACAAACTTCGTTCCATATAACGAAACAATAATAGGCAGCTTAAGAAAACCACGACAGCAACGCCAATGGGAACCTCACCGAACAAAAAATTTAATGAGCAGTATAATGGCTGTGCATGTGCGTTATAATCCTTGGTGCATTAACTTTGCTGCCCTCTGAAAAACTTGAAATGACCAAATTCTGAGTTATCTGGGAACGTGAACCACGACAACTAATTTTTGGAATTTTTATTTCAAATTTTTCGCTGGATTTAGTTTTGCCGCGATAGTTTTGACAGTGATAAACAAAGTAAATGACTTCTAAGTATCGCGAGATTCGTATAGGTAAAACATAAATTCAGTTTTTAATCGACGTTGTCCTCGATCGGCTTCCCCGTCCCTATCGCTGCCCCGTGCTGTACTCGTCGCGTCTTACTATGTACCAATATTCAACTACAAAATAACGAAGAAAAACCGATCGATAATTACTCAGTTTCATGAAAGAATTCAACGACCAGCACTCGCCGCTAGTTTCTAAAGAAAGTGCCTTGCTGTTCATTTTAGTCTTGAGCATAGTTTATAGAGGGAAATACATGTGTAGTTATGAAGCCCGGCAAACTTCAAAAGAGCAAACAAGATGCCAACAGTTAGGTTGGAAGGTCCACGAACGTGCACAGTCTTTTGTTTTGCGCTTATACACTATGCATGAATTATGTAACCAAAACGTGTCTATTTGTCAGTTCCTCAATACGGAGTAAACAACTATTGTGTTTTGTGCACGGTCAAAAAAAAAAAAAAGAACAAAAACCTACAACAAAGAAGTTTGTCGGGTTTCATAACCATTCCTCTCTATAAACTATATCTTGAGTTGCATGACTTTTCAGTGTTTATAACTTAACACTTACGTGTTCAACGTCACGGTTAGAAAGTCAACGTCAGAAAATACTGAAAACTTTCTTTGGAAAAACAGTCAAAGAAGAAAGTGATGCCTCACGATAATTCGCTTCCTCCTTAATAAATATATACCACGCTAAGAAATACATTATTAAGGTTAGCCTTTTTTAATTAAATTGCCTGATAACTGATAAGCTACAACTTGCTATAATTTATTTATTAGTGGGCTGGAGTAAGCCACTAACAATGCAGAATGAACCACAACAGGTGATAGGACTAATAAAAGGAAGCAGGTAAAAAGTGTTCATTTTTATACCCTTTGTGCTGAGGGTTTCTTGCAGGAAAATAGAGCTGCATCTAAAAGAATGATTGCCGCTACGTCTCTTATTAATTTTTTTACTGTTCAACTTCTCTGGAGATTTGCTGAAGTTAAGGCCCACTGCCGAACAGGAACATGTTTAAAGTACCCCCTTGACGTGTATGGTGATGCTGTGCAAGACACAGAGTTGGCTGGCCATGTTTTTCACAATTCTGTCACGTTAAACCCAATTCAGTGCTACACGTGGTGTGTACAGGACTGTCGATGTTTGTCGTTCAACTACAAAGAAAATAAGGAAGAAAAATATTGCGAGTTGAATGAAGAAAATCATGTTACTAACAAGAGCTCTCTCAAGCCTAGCAGAGGATCACGTTATTACGTGCTACGCCGGGAACACCACCAACAGGTAACGATCGATACACGGTTTTCTTTCTCGAGTGCTTTTCAACTCTCTCCATTCCACCGATTCTGTTAAAGTGTATATGACACGAAAAATAATTTCTGCTTATTTGAAAGGCCTTTCAAAATACAGAAGAATGGCATTTTTCTTTTTGAAATATCTTTTTTCGTTTTAGAGATATTGACGTTTTTCTATTATGCAAATTGTCAGTGATGACGTCATATTGTTTGCAACTAAAAAGTGGAAAATACTGAATAAATGATATCTCTGGAAATATTGAAGCAGTGTTCTTGAAACTTGGCACCACAAATGTGCATCACAAAAGGAACAACATGACACCCTTAGTGCTGTTGCCATGACAACAGTTTTGCCGCTGGTGCTGTCTTATTAAAAACTGAAATTCCCAGTTTTTGTCTTAAACTGAAGAACCATCTACCCTACCCAGTCTAATGATGGGAGTAAGACAGTATGGGAACTATGTCTGTTCCAAGTAGGACTTGTTGTCTCACTTTAGAGGTTGCAAATGGGGATTTTTGGTTTTTTGACAGAAAGAGACTGGAACCGAAAGACTTGCTATGGCAACTGCAGTCACAGTCACAATGACGTAATTTTCCCAGTTATATAATTAAATGTAGTTATCTCTTTGGCGCGTTTCTTCCTGTAACTTGGTGCGGACGAAATGCGAGAATTGGACAAATTTAAAAGCGGAAAGGTTCAATCGTAAAAAAACTCGCATATTTAACAACAAAAAGACTTTGCAGTAGTTAAAAAAGAACGTACAAGTGCAAGAAGCATTGACTTTCACGTCATTAGAAGGGCTATGGCGTCGTTACCTTTTTCTTCATTTTTTTTTTCAGCGCACCTTTTTTTCATTTCCATCAATAGATTTCTGACAAATACTTTTAGCTTCCTGCCCAGTCGTTAATTGTGTCGCAAGAGATAATTCTTCCCTGCGACGATCAAACGGTTTTCAATACTATGTAGAGACTTTCCTGATTAAACTGAGAAGATATCTGACGTCCTCTTCATCAGTTCTTCTGCAAATTTAATAGGCATGCTCCGTTTCATTTCCATCCGCAGGGAGTGACGTCATGTGTTGGTGAGGTCACGTGTACCAATGGATGCTGCAAGAACAATCCGTGTCTCAATGGAGGAGCCTGCAAAGAAACCTGTGAGCCTGCAAGCGTTCGGTACAACTGTTCTTGTCCGATAAACTATGTTGGAAAACGCTGCGAGACTAGGCTGAGAAAAAGTTGTCAAGAATACAAAGCAGCTGGAATGAACATGTCTGGACTGTACAAAATTGTCGATGACAGTAATCAAACCTTCCAAGTATTCTGTGATTTTGATTCAGAGCCTGAGTTTGCGTGGAACTTGATCCAGTCTTTTAGCCTATCCAACAAGCACTATTTTGAGGTAATTGTCGTACGAGCATGACAAGGCTGTGAAATTTCGTTATTAATTGCCGAAATGAACAGTTAGGTGGTGCGGGAAATACTATTTCGTATTCGACTTTTGAATTTTATAGTTTAACAATAATTTCCATCTCTTGAACAAGATTTCTTTTCTTAAGCCAATTAAGAACCTTATCTTGAAAAGCCATATTCTAAGAAGTTGTGTTTATTTTCTTTCGACGTTCAAAATTACGGGAAACAAGTTTAACACAAGAACCGTAAGGCGTCTCTTATTTTCCCGTAAAACTGTTTAAATTCTGTTTACAAGAAATATTTCTTGCGTTTTGCTCTATGTACTAGTTTTACGTTCAACTTTCTCTTTTGGTCTCTCAGAGTGACGTGGTCTTTTACGACAACTACTCCGATTCTAGTGCAGTCAGCGGTGATGCTCCCAACTGGCAGGCGTATTTGCTTAGACGACATGACCTTGTTTGGCTCCGAGAACAGTCGAGCTACTGGCGAGCTACTTGCCGATACAACACAGACGGCACGGTATACACGGATTACCTGCGGGCCACATTTGAAGACTTCGACATCATAAAAGTCAAACCCTCTAAGGTAAGCACCTGCCAAAAATACGAGCTTGTCAACATCCGGGGAAACGAGTGTACAGATTGCACGGCAG